AAAAATAATTGTTTTTCAGTTTTTGTACAAAAATCATTTTTGTGTTTTTCACTGGTGTATCTCCATCACTTACAAACTGTTTTACATGTTCCAAAAAGAAAATGCTGGAATTTGAATGGTACTCGCTACATTTGAAAAAATTTGAGGTTCCATTTCAAATTCAATTTTCTCCAAATTTTTGAAGTTGGAAACAGGAAATGTTCCCCTCCTGCAGTCCTGGCTGGGGGCTCTTTTGGAATCACTGAATGAAAAATTAATAAAAAAAATAAATTCAATTGATAGAAGCATGTATGGGATGAGGATAACACAAAGGAGCTGTATTCATGTGTTTCCCTTTATGAATTTATTCACAGCAAAGTTTTGGAGGTAAATGAGTACTCACTTTCCTGATAAACTGTTTATACCCCTTAAACACACTGTCTCAACTCTCTCATAGAATTGCTTCAAGGAGAGAGTGATGCGCTTGGGGAGTGAGGGGCTGCAGGGGCACACTGGCTCATTTTTCAGTGGAGCACATATTAGCTCCGGCGAGATGGGCATCCACCGTAAATCACACCCGCTGCATTTAGATTATGAAGCATGCCTGCTGGAAAAAGCCAGCATTTACAGTATACTTTATATGCAGCAGCATTATTTCGGTGCTTTGCAAACATTCCCTCAGCAACCCCCTTTCTTGGAAATACGGCATTTTCTCTACCGGTTTTTTTTTCGACATCGTCTGCTATATATGTACAGCAAATTTTCCCTATTGACAAAATCTTTTATATAGTCATCCCCTGCATTTCGTTGTAGATGAGCCCGTGCTGGTGTCCAGCAGCACCTGCATGTATACAGAATACGTATATGCAGAATGTATGTTGATACCTTTCCCATCGTGACCAAAGAATACATTGATTTGCATGCAGAACAGAATAAATAAATTTCAATATCCCATCCCGCCTTCGTGCAGCAGGTTAATTCCACCAGCACACAGCACCTAAGCCACCTACAGTTATATACTCGTACGGATGAGAGCAAGGATAAAATATATGTATGACCAGACTCGATGATGCCGGTGACCATGAGGGCAACGACAAAGTGGTACTATAATAACAGGGCTATGGAAAATCATGAAAGAAAAATGCAAGTGGAAGCCAGGATACACATCACACACAACACGTCTGCTGTGGGTTTTTATTCCACTTATCGGCATTTGCTGCTGATGCTGATAGCGGGCAGGCATTTATTCAAAGCAAGACAACCATCATCATCAGCATCATCATCATCACCACTGTATAGACAGGCAAGTCTTTAATCAGCAAGGTAATTTCTTCATTATCGGTGCTAAATACACCAATAAATACTGTATACTGTATTGTAGTAGGAAAGACACTGCGCACCTGCTTGAATGTGACGCGGACATCATTTACAGCCTATATCCAGTCTTTTACATACAGAGTACAGTACTAAGCGTTTCCGCGCATCTTAATCCCTGGGTCATTATTGAGATAGGAAAATAAAAAAATTAATAAAAAGAAAGAAAGAAAGAAGGGAAGAAACACATTTTGGTTGTGGTTGCTGGTGCTGAAGAAATGCGTACATGCAAGTACAATATAATAGAAAGACGACGCAAAATACTTTTTCCGCATCTCCTAAAATATGTCTTGCTCTTGCAATACTCTTGCGTTGTGCACAAACAACTGCTGCACGATGAACATGTACTGCACTCCTGCTGCACATCCTGATGTTCCAATATATATATACATATATATATAAGTGTACTTCTCACGTCGAAACCAAAAATCCACGGAATTAAAGGAATACTTCAAGAATTACTATACTGTATATGGTCATTTCCTTTCATTTGTTATACAATATATGCATGAAGTTCGTCATCTATTGCTGATGACCGTGTGTCTCAATAATAAGTATATACTGCTGTACTGTACTGCAACTGACTCTATCCGCATAAATCTGCACTTGTTTATGTTGTGCTGTTTCTGTCTGTCTGTCAGTGTCTCTCTCTTCGTCATCCGCAAGTCTGCCTGCCTGCCTTATTTTACAAATTTGAAATAACGAAAAACACGGAGCAGTACGCAAAGCACGGATAATGTAAAGTTAGTGCAATCTCCTCCTCCTCCGCCCTCTTCGTTGCTTTTCTGTTTGATCCTCCGCAAGATGCTGATGCTGCTGTGCACGTATATATTTGCATGGTCCGTCTCTGTGTTGATTCATTCGTTTCTTTCTTTCTTTCTTTTCTTGTTGCGTGTGTGTGTTTTGCTGCACGTATGATGTATCCCCATCATTTCCAGGCTGACCTATATGAATAAATAAGCGAAGAAATAAATATGAGAGGCACACAATGTGATGTACAGCATGCAGCAGCATGGTTCGATTGTCTCGCATGCTGTCACCATACAGCCGACCTGCTGCTGATCAGTCACCTGGCAAACAAAGCTGCAGATTACCAAAAGGAATTGCAAAAGAAACTTGAACTGCGCTGTTGGCTTCACCAAATACTGTATACTGTATATAGAGGATTGAGTCCATTCCCTATACACAGTATATTGCAGTATATATGCTATGAGAATACTGTAACTCATCAGCACCGGCTGCAGGCTTGAATGTCCTTTACTATATACAGCTGTGCAGCACGGTATTTTATCATTATTTGTCATAAAATAAAATAAAAGCTGCACCTATTATATGCAGGATACTTATCCTTATACAGCACTGCTTCAGGCCAGCACACAGTAAAAGACTCGAGTACCTTTCTCAAACTCATTAAACCACATCACGGCCATATATATATATATATATCTTTTTTTTTTAACTTGGTGACTCTCGCACCAGCAGCAATTACATGGACAATAATTTCTTCGGCTACCATCAGCAGTGCTGCTGTGGAGTATAAAGGATGAACTGGCGAAAATAAAGGGGGAGTGGTGCTGATGGTTTCATATACTGTATACAGTACAGTATACTCGTATGGTACACGAAATAAGCGCATCAAGGAAGATAGGAGGTGCTTCGGTATATATAGTACAGTACTGTACAGTATATTGGTATACGTGCTTGAGCAGCGCTAGAACGCATTGAGGCACACCATCAAATGATTGGGACAGCAGCATCACGCGGGACCTCAAATATACTGTCGACGACTTGAGCATCGTCAGTCATCGCTCTACATTTATAGTCAGCAAACAGCAATGATGCATGTTGCAAGAATTGACAAAAGGAATAAAAGGAAGAAGAAGAAAAAAGAAGTAGGCTGCTATGTATATTACTGACTGGAAATCAGTGTTGAAGTTGGTCCTCCGGTGATGTGCCCCTGCTGCGTTGTTCATCAAGTCCCCTGCTGCTGCTGCTGCTGTTGGCCTCGAATACGGATCCGCCGCCTCGCGCACAGCAAACACCTTCTCCGACGCCGTGCTGGACGCCATCAGGACACCGCCTGCATTCGGCTTCCGGTACTTGTAGTACCAGTACTCGAAGGCCAGCGTGAAGCAGGCCAGCACGATGCCGACGAAGATGACGATGAACACTCCGCCTGTGTGCAATGCAACGCATATTATATTTGATGGACATTTATATATTGTATAGCGAGATGATTATATATAGAAATAACAGGAAGCATATATTTATTGTAGATATAATGGCAAAATGAGTTGATAAATCAGCAGTCGATATGCTGTACTGTACGTGCGTGTACACTGTACAGTATATACGTATTGTATGCGTATATATGCAGTACACCCACCAATGTTGTAAATGCTGATGCCGTCACTCTGATCGTCCGAGTCGTCGCAGTTCATCTTCTCGGGGTTCTGGTTCCACCACCTTTCCTTGAGCGACTCGAGTTCTCGAAGGTTGAGCAGCTTCAAAATGCTACAAGTATAAGTAATATTCATATTGATGAATGAATGAATGAATGAATGAATGAATGAAACACATTCTCATATTTTATTGTATTGTACTGTATTGTATATATATGGCTCACGCGTCATTAAACTGCTCCTTGAGTGGAGAGCCCTGTTGCACGGCAATGGCGTATGGCTTGCGGCTGAACTCGTCGCCCACCATTTGCAGGTCGCAGTTGGTCAGCACCTGGTACCTGATGTCAGTTGCATCTCCTATATACAGTACATGTAAAAATAATGATGATGATGATGCATCGTCAAAGTCAACGACAATCCCAAAGAGACAAGCAATGAATCAGGTAATAATTATATACTGTAATGTATATTCACCCAAGTACGCAAACCCGTCCGAGCCGGAACCCGAGTCCGAGTCCCGCACTTTGGCCAGGGCGTCGGCGAACGTCTTGGGCAGGCCCGTCTCCTGCATGGACTGCCACATCTTGGTGTACTTGTCACTCACCGGGTAGTCCCACACGGCCAGCTTGGCCCGCTCCACCTCGCTCATGCTGTCGTTGAGACTCATGTCTTTCCATATTCTTTGAAATAATAATAATACAGTAATAATGATCGGATCCGTGTCATATCATCATGTATCCTCATCATCGGCAAATACTGATTATGATCCCGTCCAATATTTACTCGTAAAATTTAGACTCGATGTAGGCCATCCTCTCAAAGTAGGTCATGCTCGACGAGCCGTTCATGGGCGCGTAGCGGACCTTGTACTGCTTGGACAGGTCGTCCAGGGACTCGATCGGCGTGTCCAGACGGGACACGGTGAGGAAGGCGGCCAAGTTGGCAGTGTAGGACGCGATGATGATGAAGCCAAAGAGCCACCAGGTGGCAGCCACGAGGCGCCCGCTCAGGTTCTTGGGCGCCTCTCCGCCGCCCTATTATTGTACATATACGAGCACAACATTATATACTTATTTTGCGTATGTACAGTGGATATATATATATATATATATATACAATATATATATACGCAGCAGCAGTAACGTGGAGATAATAATAATAATAATAATAATAATAATAATAATAATAATAAATAAGAAAAATGAAGAAGCAACAATTCAAATTAACTCGTTCCCTTATTCATTGCTCGCTTATTACCTCATTATTATTGTTCCTATATATATAGTACTGTATATTATCGAGAAATTCTCGCTATAGTTATAGAAATACAGTTACTGCTCACTATTAAGACCATATATTAATATTAAAGAATATATGCTGCACTCTGTATTTATTGTATGATGATGATGATGATGATGCTGCACACGCCTTTTTCATTTACAATAAAGTAGTAAATATTCGTGGTTAACACTGATGCCTGCATGCATGTTTCGACCCTCGTATTACATATTAAGCGGCGCACATTGCATTTTGCGCTCAGACGAGCTTACTTTCCTCGCGCGCATCCATCGTACCACAGTAGTAATACTGCACAATTATCTTGAACGTCATTGCTTCTAAAAATAAGAAGGAAAAAAAGCTAGGGCTGTTTGCTGCAAGCAAATAGTAAACGCATCTTGATGGTTTTCATTTTCATTACAGTACTGCAATGCACAGACGCTCAGTGGTGATGCATACCAATTTTGTATTACCTGAAAATAAATGTGTCGTGTATATATATATATATACATATACATGAGTGTGGTACAGTATATATCCCAACCCAACGTGTATATATATACCCAGTCTGCCGCCAGCAGTCGGGCAAACCACGGATGGTCGTGCACCCGCAAGTCGGCAAACGCCGGTTGGTCCAACAGCCAGCCATCATCAGGGCAGTCCTTATTGGCCTTGCCAATCCCCAGTCCCACGTGTGCAACGATGGTTTGCCAGACTGCTGACGACTGGCGGGGTACCAGCATATCCCAAATGATATAGAAACATGAACTTAGTTGACCAATTCAAGGCCCCCAAGTAACGAAATTCATCAAAGACAAGTTGAATGCATATTCTGTTTGAAAGTTGCAAATTAAATAATATGCACATTAGTCATTTTCAACAACAACAACAACAACAACAACAACAATTACAAAGTGTTGTTCAAATAAAGAAAGGGTTAATTTGGAAGAGGATTCAATTTGTACAGTGTAGTCTCATGAATGAGTGTTTGGTGTACGCAGTGAGTTAGTTATAATCTGTATGTAAGTATATATACAAAGTTATTAATTTCAATGAGTTGATGACATTCTTCACATTCTTCTTCAGCAATATATATATATATATTGCTGAGGATATGATATATATATATATATATATTGCTGAGGATATGATACAAAAAATAGAGGACGACGCCTCATTTTCACAAATAATTCACGCCGAATTAACTTGAGAATAAAACAGCAGCTGCTGCATCATCATCATGACGAAACAAGCATGCTGGATAAAAACTTGGAAATGACATGATACAGCAGGTGTAATAATAAGATATTGAGTAAACACTGTCACTTATTCTTTCAACAACGTACAAAAAAAAATATTGAAAGCTCTTCTTTTGCTGGTGAATTTTTCCTTTCATCAAGTACAGTACAGTGCAGTGCAGCAGTACTCTGTATATATATATATATATATATATATATATATAGCTTTTACCAGCATTTCATTTCCGCTGCATATGGTATGGAATACCGCGCTACACAGCAATATAATAATGATGATCGAGACTGCAATAAAAACGCTAATAATATGTTGGCGACGTGAAATTCAAGTTTCCAGCAGGATAATTTAAGATGAATCAACGTACACCGCCGTTACACGTTTTTAATGACGCGGACAATGATGACAAAGACGAGACGGATATATGCGTATAAATATACAGTCGTATTGCTTGTATATCCACTGCTTGCGTATACATGTATATATATATATATATAAGACTGACCTGCGGGGTGAGTGACGTCATGCAGAACCAGAGGCACTCTTTGAGGTTGAACTCTCGCTTCTCGTCGTCGTCCTCGTACTTGAGCCTGTTGTTTTGGTAGCTGTAGGGACTGTAGCGATCAAAGATCCAGAGCAGGAAACTGATGAAAAGACATTTTCACGCAATATAGATATAATGATAATAATAATAATAATAATAAGTATAGTCGTGCATTATACCTGGTGAAGAAATAGGCGGCCAGGATGCAGAACCACACGTCCGTCTCCAGCACCGTGAGGAACTTGAAGAGCGACGTGGTGGCCTTGGACTTTTTCATGAGGATCGTGATGCCGACCAGGTCGTAGTAGGGCACGGTAAAGTCCACGACGTTCTCTCGCTCGGCCATGACGGAGAGAGGAGCGAGAGCAATGTCGGCTTTCTATATTTATATGAATAATGATAATAATAATAATAATGAGCAACACAACAAGTACAGTACTGCACTGTATATGCTACACATCACTGTTATTGTTGATTGCAGCACTATTATATCAACACATTATTCACCTTGTCTATCAACTCTTTAATCATGCCACTCCACTCGCTGCTGTCGCTCATGGAGCCGAACTTGCCGTCGGGCGCCTCGTACAACTCGTAGTCGAACACGACGATGTTGCGGATGGCGTTGATGAGGTCGACGCAGTAGCCGTAGTACTCGACAGTCCCGTTGGGATGCACGCGTTTCATCATGAAGGGAGGAGTCTGCATATACAGTATAAATATACAATAAGTACTGTAGTACGTTCACAGCAGCATATTGCACATGCATGCAATTATTGAAAAAAAAAGTCGACGACCCACAATGACTGTCGTCACTCTGTACACGGAGATGGCCTGGAACTCGGACAGGTTCTTGCCGGGCTCCATCGTCATGACGCCAGACAACAGGCCCGACAGCCACACGCCGAGCCGCTCTCCGTCGGACGCCATGGCGGCGCCGGAACTGAACTTGAACTTGTCCAGCGTCAACTTGAGCTCCTGGAACGACTTGCCATTCCTGTCCCACACGAAGCGGCCGTAGGTCAGGTCCGTGGCCGGGTTGCTAGTCATCTGCATGTATATATATAAATATATATATATATATATACGACTGGTATATATTGCCGTATATATATATACATACACCGCCGCCTCATCAATAAATAATGATATCAACTCCCCAGCAGCTGCATTATTTTTTTCCAAATTTTGAAAAACATTTATTAATTTGACACAAAAGTCTCTCATAACCATGATGAATCTCAGCAGCAGCTGCAGCAAGCTTATTATTATTATTATTATTATTATCATCATCATTATTATTATCATCATTATACCGCCTTGGCTGCTGCCCTCAAGTCAATGGTCATCCTGTCCAACGGCTGGGCATTCTTGTCGTAGGCTGCGCACGTTGTCACCGTGTAATTCTTGAAGGACCCGTCGTCGACGAGTTTCCTGACGAATGAATGATTCGAATAAGAAAAGGAACATTGATGGAAAATGACTGATGGAGTAAAACAGCGATTGCTGATTCATTGAATTTACGTGACTGCTCGAAACGCCGTGAGGATGATGTCAAAGTAGAAGGCGGCGTCGATGGTCGGCGTGGCCGTGAGCCCGTTGGCCTGGCCCAGCTGCTGCACTTTGCCCGCGAACTCGGCGGCAGTGGGCGTGGGTCTCATGTACACCAGGGTGGCATTGCGACAGGAGGCACAAGACAGGCCAGCAGTGTCCTGTAATATGCATTCAACGAATATACGTACTGCTAGCTGCTGTAGAATAAGGGTTGATTCGTGGATATTTCACCTTGGTGAGAGCGAACCAGGCGTACTTTTTCCCAAACATATTCTCCGCCGTCGCCTGTATATATATATACATCAGTACATATATTTTAATGCAGCGAATTAAAAGGAAGACAAAGGCAAGCAGCATGATAATAGTAATAATAATAATAATCACGCACTACAGACAGGGCCCTCGTGATGCTGTCCTTGGAGCCCACCAGGAAGAAGGTGGACACGTCGGCGTCCCGGATGCGGGCTGTCTGGTTCCGCAGCCCGGCCTCGGTCTTGTCCATGGCGCTGATGATGTGGCGCACGGGCAGGTTGACGAGCAGAGACTTGTATCTGTGCTCCATCACTAAACAGCAGCATCATATCGATCGAGACACATGGGGGGAGAAATAAAAAGCCAACACAAATAATAAGTCAAATAAAAAGGAAAAGAAAAGAATAATGTGTTCATATTGATGATCATCATCATTATGGGTCTTGCCAAAAGTCGTGTCGTCGTACAGCACTGCTGCACTCGTGATGTTCTGGCTGGACACGATGTTGCGGATCACGTCCGTCATGATGTCCCCCGGTGGCATGATTTGCACCAGGTACTTTTCCTGGTTGACGGACACGTCCCGCCATTCTCTGCATAATATATATACGTACAAGTGTGATGGATACACATATTCAAGAATAATGCAGTAATATTCATCAGTACTGTATTCTTATTTTTATTGACTATTACGTGATGTCGTTGTCGTGGCCGTAGCTTGCAGACATGGTCGGGATCTGCAGGGCCTTGGCCACGGCCTTGACGATCTCCGAAGACACGCCGCTGAGTGTCGTGTCCACGATGAGGTGCGGCGGAGTGCCGGCGTTGACAAGGGAGTCGATTTGTTGGCAAGCTATATATATATATACAATAAACAACAATAGATGACGATGATGACGATGATTGACGTATATGCACGGTATATATGTACAATTAAAAAAAAAACTTTCAAAAAGAAGAAGAATGTTTTTGTCTTACTCGTGTTGACAAAGTCGTACGAGTTCTTCTTGACGTTGACGATCTCGGTGATCTTGCCGGTCCGAGCCCGGGCCACGGCCGAGCCGCGACTCTTGATGAACGTCACAGCGGCATCAAAGGCGGCCTTGGCCACCGTGTTGTTTTGCTCGTTGATGAACACTGTACAACAGTACATTAGTAAAATGCCGAATACACTGTGCACAGCATACAGTACAGTATATATATTCATATGACCAGCATTCATACGTACGTATACGTTCAGTATACTTATTGTACGCATGCTGCTGCTGTACCGTACAGTACAGTACATTATCAGCAGCATTGACTCGATTTTTTGAAATAAGGTGAATGTACACTATAATTCATCAAATAATTATCCATGATGTACTGTACTGTATATTGAACCACTGACACAGCGAGTGTATATATATATATATATATATATACTCGAGTGCATGCATTTAATGCTTTTCCAATTCATATACTATGTACGAGAGTCTTATTGTTCCAGAGTTCTATACACGCGTTTTGCATGTGCTGCATTTGAGTATCTCTGACGCCCAAATAAAAAAAAATGTGGAAACATTTTCAAATATATTCCGAAGATGGACGAAGCGCTTATTGGGGGGTTTTCCTTTTTATCATAGGATGTATTTGTTACAATAAACGGTACGTGCGTCAAATATTTACTACACATCGAAATACTGTAATTGAAAATGGCTTTCTTTCCTCATCGCTGCTATCCTACTGTGCACGCACATGCTGTATATATACTGACTGACATACAGTGTGTGTGGTCAAAAATGAAAATTAACAAAACGAGAGTGAGAGAGAGACATTTCGGAAACCGCGGTCTTTGTTTGCAAGCATGCAGTTGTGGTCCTTATTTGTTTCGTCACTTTTGTTTTTCTCTGTCCGAGGCTGTGCATTGTGTTTGTGTTTGTGTGTGTGTGACAAAAAATTAGACCAATAATAAAACCTTCGTGTTTCTTATTGTTAACTTTTTCTTGAATCATTCAGGTCGTTTTATTATAGTTTTGACGTCGGACGCGGAATGGATATGGTATTAATGTAAAGTATATAGTTTCACTAAAAGTACTATAGTGCAGCATCATGGTTCGTATTGTGCAAAAATGGGTTTTACAGTAGTTGCGTACAGTTAGGGTATCGATACTGCATATATATATCGATCAGCATGCAGTTCGTGACGCGGTCGGGTCAAGGGCATGAATAAAAGGTACTCTTCGGCACTCGAGTATTCACGCCATTGATTTATGCACTTGGTGCTGGTTGGAGGATGAAACCAAATCAATCCAAGGTGAATTACGCATGTGCTCGTCGTGGTGAATCCTCGTCATCCGCGTATATAAGCAAGCAGCATTAATAATAGGCGAGGAGAGTCAGCCAGCCAGCGACTGCCGCCTTCGTGGCGTCAAAAGTCACGGTAAATTAATACGGACGGTACAGCAGCAGGAATGCATCGATGAACATTACGGGGAATTTAGTTTCCTCGCAATTTTTACTACTGTATTACTACTGTCCTGTGTAAGAGTGAGGGAGGCGGGGAAGACTGCATTTATTATGATGAGGATAACGAGGAACGATGGAAGGGAACGAAAAATTCCACGCTGCTTTATATAGTGACCAACAATATCTCGGTCAGATGTCGCCCGTGTCTTTCCGAAAATAAATGCCCAGTCGAGTCTATATAATATAAATGCGCGGACGGGCATACATGCAGCAGATGACAATAATAAGCACAACTTGCTCGCTTATCGTGCCGGTCCGGTTGCCGTAATATAAATGGTGTAATAATATTCCAAATGTGTACAGTATACTCACAGACGTTAAAATCCTGCTGCTGACCAGAAACCCGGGAGATGAGACTCATCATCGTCGCAGCAACGGTGATTGTCATCATCATCAGCTGAGCCCAGCACTGAGGCATCTCGTCTACGCTGCTTTGACGGCGGTGCTGCAGCACTGCACTCTTTCCGATCGCAGTACAGTACAGTACAGTACAGTACAGTATTACTATCAACAATCACTATCACTATATACAGAAGTACAGTAATGTATTAAATGTTCTCCCTCCTCCAATATAACCTATATGGACGAGGCAGTAATGCACCCATCATTGCCCTTTTTCTTCGAAGGCGGAAGAATTGAGAAATTAAGAATAAACGGCGTATATATACGTACATCATACCGAGCTATACATAGGGCCGGAAGGAATAAGACACACTGATTGAAATTGAACACAGCAATACTATACGGCAGCAATTATAAGCACCCTATATATATATATATATGTGTGTGTGTGAGCAGAATTCGTATACTGTTCATAGAAAAGTACTTGTACTGTACACTATAGTACACCATTGGTGTATGCTGTATGCTGCAGACAAGAGTTGAGTGCAACGACGACGAGACGACACACACTCGACGCGACTCGACTCGACTCGACTCGACTGCTGCAGGAATTTGCTGTGAGATCCCTACTATGGTCGTATATACATACATGCAGGAATGCGCACATATAACATGCACACACACACACACATATTCTCGATCGACCGACCGACCGACCGACCCCGAAAAATTGAAAGAAAGAAAGAAAAAAAAAGCCACTGCTGGGAGCAGGCAGCAGACACGGGAAGACAGACAATCAATCAAGCAAGCAACCAACCAACCACGAATGCTCCCGTGAATGATTGATGGACGATTGATCGATGGATCTAGCCAACATACTCGTCTTATTATTGCGGCGGCGGCGGCGGCAGGCAGGCTCATCGGAGAGTTGAAAAATTAAACGATGAGAGGTGCGTCCATCAATTAAGCATGATGATGCACACCGTGATGCACTAATTTACAATGCTGCTGCACACCCCGGCCGTGTCGGGATTGAGAACTTGCTTCTGCCGTCGCGAATAAGGAGCGGTATATGTTGTTCCTCCTCCTCCTCCTCCTCCTTCGTCCTTTTCCCCCTTTTTTCTTTTTATTTTTACTTGTCCTATTGTTCAATATTTCAAGCTTCACTGTACATTATTGAGGGCAAGGTGTACGTATACGAGTATAGAGGAATGTAGGGAGGGATTTGCTGCTGATGTGGCAAAATGTCGTGATTGGGCCATGATTATGATGACGTTGCATTTGCGCTGTTTGTCTGTACAGTACAGTATATACCCCGCATGTATATAGCACTGGACATGCGCAGCAAGAACTGCTGCATGATGAGTATAGCAGTAATAGAGAGAATAGCAATGGCGGCATATCCGGAGAATGCCGAGATTTTCCCGCCTGCATTCACCGTTCGAGTATTGCGGAGTCGATGCGAACAAATAGAGGTTCATTTCTTCTCTTTTTTCGTGCATATATATATATATATATATATAGATAGATGTATATGACTGCAGCAGTACTATACTGTATAGGTGATGGATTGATTTCCTCAGCAGTCGATTGACGCCCTGCTGATTGATTGTCGAGCATATTCTGCCGTACTCGCGTATGCTGTTGGAGATGACGGCGATGAGTGCTGCTGGTGCTGTTCTTCTCCTCCTCATTGCCTTGTTTGCAGCAGCCCCATCACGACTCGGGTCTTGTGCCAACACGACCAGCACCAATTCGACAGATGACAAGATCGGATTCCTTGTCGGTGAGCTGCGCTGTTTTTCTTTCCTCCCTCTTGTTGCCGAGCAGCAGACTACGAGCATCAATATAAAGTGACACACACCTAATGATGCTGCGGCTTCTTTCTCGATCCTCGATTGTATCATAATAATAATAATAATAATAATGCTGTAATGATGATGGATGGGGGAAAAGTGAGTCGAAATTGCGAGAAGAGTATACAGTATACATATGCGTGCTGCAGTGCATACTGTATATACGTACTGTACTACACTACTGTATATACTGAATCTGCATATTGGCATCAGCCGTATACAGTATAGTACCTCCGGAGTAAAGTTGAATGCTCATCTGCTGCTGGTGCAATATATGATGGAGCTAGCCAATCAGCACAATCAGAGAAAATGTATCGTCTCATCCAGCTACAGTACAGTACTGTATATCCAAACAGCAATGGCGGGAGGATCGAAAAGGGGAAAATAAGGGGTGATCAAGCAGTTCAGTGCAGTATGTACACAGTGCGTGCAGATATTATTGCATTTTGTGTTTGGTGCATACATACAGTGATTATGTAGCGTAAACCCCTCATCATCATCATCGTCTCTTCTGCTGCATGCTGATGGGGATTGATGAGACAGCTTCATCATGCATCAATACCAATGGCGGTTCTGCTGGACGTAAATATATAAAAGGACTTTCAATTGCTCGATAAATGATGGATTGATATGCAGTATCAATCCATATGTATGCTGAATAATAATACTGATATTTATCTCGCATATCCATACACATATGCAGTGTATGATGCAGTATTCACTGTACATGTGCGCAGGGGCCTACGTGGAAATGACCCTGGTGGG